CCCCAAAACCCCAAAACCCCAAAACCCCAAAACCCCAAAACCCCAAATCCATGAAATCAAATTGATTTAAATATTAATTTTGCGCTAAAATTTTATGGAAACTGAGGTTAATGCACAGAAAAAGCGATATAATGGAGTACCACATGCTTCACTGAACATGTGAGAGTCTGGTGCAACATTTATTTCACAAAGAAGCAGTCCACAGAAGGATATTGAAAGAATTACCCGAGCTGATTACTATCGCCACAGTTCAGGTTCATACTACAATTGAGAGCCTGCTTCACTAGGCGATGATAATTCTGACCCTGAGATTGACTTTAACGCAAAGGAAGGGTCTGACTTCAGCTCTCCTAATGAAAAATAAGGTGGCTATTAGCACTCTTAATAAAGACCTGAAGGAGACTCCTGAGAGAATTTCGAACTCGAGTCAGGAAAAAGACCCTTATGCAACCAGTAAATAAGCTCTATGAAATATCTGAAATTTATTCAACTATGAAAATAAATGATACTCCTGATGGTGTCAGTGAATCAAAGTACAACCAAATATTCCCTGGATTCTATGTAGAGAGTATGAAGTCTGATATCGAAGAATCTACTAAAAATAAGGATATCCTCAAGTAAGTCTGCGAGAAATAACAAGGTATATAGTATTCGGGCAAGAAACCAGAAGAGCTCAATTCAAACAGCAGGGACTCTCCCTGCATCCACCTCTTCCAACCACGCTGTGGCTAATAAAAGGATTCGGGATATGCATAACACCAATGTGAGTGTCTTAGTGGTAATATCTATAGTATACAAGCCAAGGCGAGCAGACAAATGCTGTCTCTGAAGAATGTGAGAAACACTTGACCACTATCCAGAAACAAAATGAGCTAATAAAGGCTTTGGACAAGGAAAATGAGGAGCTTAAAGAAAAATTCCAGCTTGAAAGAAACCGTAACTATAAACTACTTCTCCAACTGAAGAAGATCAATCAAGAGAATGAGAATAGGCAAGTTAATATGAGGGATAAGTCTACTGAGGTTAATTTTGTAGTATACGATAATGTAAGCCCTGTATTTTATTCCCTTATAGCAACAAGCCCTTAATGCAACCATGAAAATGAAAGAGATACCAGAAGTTGTAAATACAAAGCCGTTTAGACCTCTTCAGACTGTTGAGAACCCAAATGTACTTAGCAGAGAACTTGATTTTGCTAATATCCAAACTTTATTTGAAAAATCAATATCGAAAATTGATCCTACTAGCCCTAATCTCTTGGAAAGATTGAGCCCAAATGAGCTCCATGAGAACAAATCTAGAGTGTCATTACGAGACAAGAGCAATAATAAGGAGCTCTCGAAGCTAGTTGATAAGGAAAATCATCCTTTGAATAACAAGATCATGGAGAGAAAATCTTCAATAAAGAGTAAACAAGACAATCTGAAGAAGGTAATCTTGGACTGCTCCAGAACTCACATTAAGAAGCACCCAAAGGCTCTAGATTTAAACCTTAAGAACGGGCTTCAGAAGAAAAGAGGTAGTATAAAGTATTTTGATATGACAAAGTCCACCAGTCATATTGACCTCCTGTCTAAAGGACTTGTTGCAAGCAGGAATCAGAACAGTCTGGGAAATTTACACACTGGAGTGCAAACTATTTCCAAGAAAGCTATTATTAAGAAACCTAAGAAGGGTAAAAAGAGCAAATTTAAACCAAAGAATATGTTTCTAGCAAATAGTAAGTCAACTAAGAGCTTTGCCCAGTCTGCAATAAAGGTCTCAATGGCCCCAAAGAGTAGTAACAAGGAAAATTTCTCGATCAAGTCTTCAGAATCAGGGAATAAGATGAAACTATCTAAGCCTACAATTAAATATTTTCCAGTTAAATCAGGAGTAGGACCTATTAAGAATATTAACATGAAGAAAACAAGGAATTTGTACTATGAGCTGAAGGACGCAATGACTGAAAAATTTAGCCATAAGGAAAGCCTTTCTAGTTCAAAGAGAAACTCTATACATAGTATTCAAACAAATTCTGCAAGAGGTAGTACTTTCGAGATCAGCTCTTATAATACACTTCCTCAGAAGAAGACTATTGCTACAATTAAAAATCTTCCTAAAACAACAAGGATGGCAGATATAAAAGGTAAGATTATACTTATTTTAATCTATTTCTTACATTAAACCCATTTAGACAAGCCAAAGATCAATTTCTTTACTGCAAAATCTAAAGTAAAGGTCCTCCCTTTGAAAACCATCAAAAAGGTAAATTTTCAAAAGAGCTCTCAACCAGTGACATTTAAATTAACTAAATTTTAGTCTTTTCGCTCTCAATCTCTTAATTCACATTTGGGGTTTTGGGGTTTTGGGGTTTTGGGG